CTCCCCCTTCCCTCTATTCCCGTTTATTTATTTATCTTTAAATAAAGATGATTTATATATATTAAATATATATAAATATGTATAATTTAAATAAAGATAATTTATCTGTAATAAAGATAAATGCATTTATTTATCTTTAAATGATGATTTATAGATATACATAAAGGTGGAATTAACCACTTTCACGGGGAACTCACTTTTCCAGAGGTGAGTAACTGATATAAAAGGATGAGCAGGAAAAAAAACACACAAATACGCTGTGCCAGCTACTCACTAGCTAAGAGTCAGATGGGAGAAAAAAGTCTTAAGAGAATCCCACATGAGTTTCAAGCTGTCTGAATGCTCTGCCAGACTCTTGCCAGATAAGTAGAATCAGAAAGGGTCATCAGCCAACACAGGACTGTCGCTCCTTGGCTTTGAGGGAGGGCTCTGGGAATCTCTGGGGGCCCTGATTGATCTGGCGGACGAGCCCTCTAGTGGCGAGAAAGGGAAATTGCACCTAGACTTGGAAACAGATTTCTACGCACCGTGTACACACCTACACGTTCTATTGAATGAAAGGATGAGGTCACCCCCTAGTAAGTGGGGAGGAATTATCAGGAACTAACTGGCGGTCTCCCTGCCTCCGCACTCCCACTCCAGTCAGGTGTTCTGATTTGCTCCATATGCAGGTTCAGGACTTCCCACACTCTCTGATCAGCTTCTGCTCTGGACAAGAGTTACAGAGGATGCTCTTGCTAACCAAGGCAAAAGCTCAGTATACATCGCCATTCTTGCAACTCTCTTGGGTCCCCTTTCTCCACGTTGTGACTGTGATTGTTACCTTCATCTACCTGGGTTCCTGACCCCTTCTTCCCACCAGCCTACCTGGATACTTGATTCTTTCGCAGAACAACTTCTTGACCACCACACCTGGATGTCTGGGCTTCTAGTACAATCCGAGGGGTGGAGATGGACCTGCTCTTCTTTTACTGCAGATCTGGTGAATGGAGCGATTGGCACATTCTCCCCAAGGCCCCTTGACTTTCTGTCAACGTGGTCTTACTTTGATAGAATACCTTTCTTGCCCCTTACTGGAGTCATGCAAGAATAAAATGTCTTGGGGTGACTGTTGGGTCAGTATGAATTAGTTCATATTGCTTAAGTTTCTGAGAGTGGGAAAGGAAAATTCACTAATTTAATAACTTCCACCAGAAAAGAACAATTTCACCTCCCTGTTATACATGGCCTTTTCCTTAAAAAAAAAAAAAAAAACTAATAATAACCAAGGTAGGATATTTTATGGAGAAGAGAATTTTCATTAGAGGAAAAAGAAACAGCACTAAGTTACTGGTAGGAGGCTTGGTACAACTTACTCCATTATCTGCTGGGGTATGGCTACATGTGATCCTGGCCACAAGTTATATGTTGCAATTCTTTTGTTTATGCAGCAAATTTTCAGTATAAAGCATGATACATTCACATGAAATCAAGCACATATGTGTAAAAAGCTACACATGCCAACCTATGATAATACGCATACTCACTGCTGCATGTTTATGTCAGATATGAGCACATGGGCCATGACAGTGCTGCATATACACAGCCTCTGCAACAAATCTCCAGGCATTCAGAACTCACAGCAAAGTTGAACACAGCACAGGTAAACATTCAAATACAAATCATACCATAATGGCGTATTCAAATCAATGCATGCACATACATATATATCTAACACCATGAATGAAGTCTTCAAATGACCTTAACACCAAATAAAAACAGCAAAGTCATGGAGAAGTTGGGAGTGGCTTTTGAGAGCCTTCTGATACATGCTGCTACTCAATCAACGGAATAGTAGTTCTCAGACAGCCAGAGATGGCTCCGTGGCAGTATCTTGTCAGTGATTATCTCCTATTACATTTTTGTCCAGTAAAATAACACTTAACTGTGACAGCTAGTTGTGGACACATCTCAGGGACAGCAGAAGCAACTCAAGCAGCCTCGATTGCAAACACTCAACCTTTGACTGTGTCAGTCATATAATAGCACAAGAAAAAAAAAAAAAAAAACATAAGAGCTAGTCTGTAGAATGTCTTCAGTCAACTAACTCCGTGGGTGCTCATGTGTGTGCTGGAAGACATGGTACTGGCTGGCTCAGGGCTGATCCTTTGCAACATGGTCTATTTCCAAAGGAGAGAGCTTTCAGGTATGCAAAGGCATTTGTACTTTGGACTAACAAGGAAAGCAGCTCAGACTTCACCTGTTTTGTGGTCTGCCTTCCACATGGATGTTAACAAATGAACATCACAGGGAGCTCTGGAAAGAATCTGACATTTTCAATGGCTCAGACACCTTGGATTCATGAGCCCCTCAGATGTAAAGGTGTTAACATATGTAAGAGGTTTATGCAGAAACCCAAATCTCACATCCCATCACTCAAGGTCCCTGATATGTGAACAACAGAATATGCGCATTTAGTTCCTTTGGTCCTTTTAGGAGTACATGTTCATATTTATATGAAGAGTTCCCTGGTCTGATCTGAGCACGTTATCTCCCATGTAAACCAGAGCTCCAGAGAAAGGAGGGTAGACATATTGGTTTGTTTTCTGGGGAACCAAACTGAGGCAGACTATACACAGATGCGCCTGTGCCAACACTTTTGCCGGCCCAAGTGAGCCACAGAACCGTCACCCAGACCCGTCGGTCCCTTTAAGAAGGCTAGGTCTCTCCGATCTTCTCTGTCCCCAGTGGGTTTCCAGCAGCTCCCGCAGCAAAAAGCAAACTTGCCTGGCTCCCGGGGCCCGGGGCGGGGGAGGGGAGTTGATTGGCGACGGCTGCGTCGGGTGGGCGCGGAGAGAGCGCCAGAGTGCGCTGCGGGCTGCTTCCCCTTCCCCTCTCCTTAACCCTTGGCGGAGCGGAGGACAAGGATCGTGCCGCAGCGCCAAGAAGCCAGGGCGCTGACTGCCCTGGGCTCCCGAAACTTTGCGCGGAGCGTGGGCAGGACTAGACGGAGCCGAGCCTGCTGCCTGGCCGGGGAAAGGTGCCCGGGGAGCGACCCTGGTGCATCCCGGGTCCCTGGCCCAGGCGCGATCCAGGCAGGGGTGCAGCTGCAGAAGGGAGCTGTCCGTTCAGCACCACGGACCATCCATCCCGGGCGGGAGGAGCCGGAGGCCGGGCAACAGGCGGGGAGCTGTCCCTTCAGCACCACGGACCTTTGCCCTCCCAGGAAACCAGGCGGCCCCCGCCCAGGACTCTGCCTTTTTCCCCAGTTTGGGCGGGGGTGTGGGGAGCAGGCGGAGAGCTTTCCTGGGAGGCTGGGGAAGCAGTGAACACTCTTCTCAGCGATCGCCTCCCAGCAGTGCTATTTTTTGCCATCCGCCCTCACCCCCAGCACACGCGCTCGCACACACACGCACGCACACACTCACACGCGCGCGCGCGCGCACACACACACAGACACACACACACGCACACACGCGCACACAGACCTCTCCGGATTTCTTTTCCTTGAGTCTCCCGGGGGCTGTGAGGAGCCAGGCGCATCTCAAAGCGAGCTGGAGGCTCCAGGCTCTGAAGCCATGCCCTGCACGAACCCTTGTCCTTACCAAGCTGCTGAGGAATGAAAGGAAGCCAGGGACCCTCCGAAGGCAGCAGTGATGTGGACCAACCCCCTGGAGCCAGCACCCTCCCGAGGGCCATAGACGACCCAGGGAACTGGAGAGAGCTCAAGACAGGAAACCCCAGCTTTCCTAAAGTCCCCGTGGATGCTGACAAAAGGAGATCTGAATTGTGGGGAGAGCCTGTCCTAGGTTACACAGCTGCAGAGTGATTTTTTCTCCTCCGGCACTGAATCTCCCCCCACCCCACCTCCAACCCCCAGACGTCCAGAGTACCATGAAGAATTATGAGGATGTGTGACAGAGGTATCCAGATGTTGATCACCACCGTGGGAGCCTTCGCAGCTTTTAGTTTAATGACCATTGCAGTGGGCACGGACTACTGGTTATATTCCAGAGGCGTGTGCAGGACTAAATCTACAAGTGATAATGAAACCAGCAGGAAGAATGAAGAAGTAATGACCCATTCGGGGCTGTGGAGGACCTGCTGCTTAGAAGGTATTTACAAATTCCTCTCGATGGCTCTGAATTATCCAGCTTCTGATATCTGGTGGGTGTTCAGGGAGCTGTGGAGGCAGTGGTGGGGAAAGAGGAATAGTTGGGATTATTGCTGAGAATGTGCAGGTGTCCAGACTGTTCCCAGCAAGACCGATGCTGTGTGGGATGGAAGTGTTGGATCTTGTTGATTGTTTTTGGTGTAAGCTTCATGTGACGAGATTTGGGTGACACTCGAGGCAGCTTCTGCAGTTGAGATATCTTGAAATCCAGAATCCTCGGGCATGTTGTGAACTGCTTGGGTCTCTGGTTAGAGAAGAGGGTCTTCACAGTTGCTTTGATTGCATTTCAGTGGTGGGGTGAGGAAAAGAGGAAGCCAAGATAGAAGGGAGAGAGAGAGAGAGAGAGAGAGAGAGAGAGAGAGAGAGAGAGAGAGAGAGAGAGA